TTCAATCTGTTAAGACCAGTTACTGATACATATCTTACTTCAGACTACTTTAATGTTCATTCCTAGGTAAATATCAAAAGCTGTTCTTATCAGAACACTGTAAGAATTATTTCTCAGACAGTCTTTCTGCATCTAATTTAGTTCACTCATATTTAGGCTTTAAATAAAATCAAAAGCCTAACAGATTAGTATGGATTTAAGCTTTAAAGTAAGGGAGATAAAAATGTTTCACTTGACTATTTTGTGTCCCTGAATCTGTTTCTGATTTCAGACTTGTTCCTGACCTAAGGTTGTGTTTCTCTGTAATACCACGTGAAGTTTCAAAACAAGTATTAATTCCCTTAAATACACATAATAGTGACTGAATTTTCAAAAACAAAACCAAACCACCCACACCTAACAAAACATCAATCCCATAAGACTCAATGTCTCTAAAAAGGTGATACATCTACCATCCCAGTTTATCCAACAGAAAAAGCACATAATTCCAGATACATTTTTTGGATCAATCCTCCTCAAACTGGCTATGTATACTTCTACCTTTAATGGACAGAAACACCACATTTCCTTTTAGCAATGAGAAATCATCCTGAATTGACTATAAAGCAACCATGACAATACTTCAAAATTTGAAATTAGTACAATTTCCAAGTAAATACTGTATTTCATAATTTCCCACATGCTGTTTAAAACCAAGACAGCTCAAGCACTGCAGAGGACACAATCCACACATGAGAACTGCAAAATGGAAAATGTGTAAGTCCATAATCCACAAACAACTGATGGGAGTCAAAACACTGAATGTAAGGGATAACACTAAACCTAGCAAATTTTAACCAATCAGGAAATTAAACCCAGGCTCTAAGGAAGTACCTGAAAAGTGTTGTTAAGGCCACATATTACTTAAAGGTTTTTACAGAAGAGGATGGCACTAGATTTTTTACACCCTGGAGTCTAGTCACCCATAGGAATGTACTACCCTGAAATCTTCAGGAGACTGAAGTTGTTCACAGCAGTATCCAGCAGTGAAGTACATCTGGAAGTAACTACTAAACATCAGTACATCTCTTTAGCACAAACTCATGCACCAATGCGTGAGTTCACAATTTATCTTCCAAAAAAGCAAAACAAACACTCTAGATGACTGCACAGCTCAGAAAAATAAAATAACATTCTAAACTAAACTACTACAGATTTTGAAATTTAAAACATTAAGTCTTTCAGAAAAGTGAAAAATAAAAATTCACAGTTGTCAGAATTTCTCTCTTCTGAGCATTTCACCTGTGCACCAAAAAGGCCATCCATATGAGGCACATTATATCAGCTTGCCAACAAGGTTTATACAACATATAAATATAATATGAATAGTTCTATAGTATAAATATAGAATATGATAAATATAGAATATGATAAATATAGAATATGATAAATATAGAATATGATAAATATAGAATATGATAAATATAATTATAAATATAGAATATTTCTATAATATTCTTTCACAACACTTCAGAAATGGGAGATTGTAAATGAAGTAGAATTGCTTAATTTCACATTTAAAATGACTATTCAGAAGTCTTAGCTGTTCTTTGTAGTTTCTAGTGTCAACACTGTTTTGAGAAAGCTATTATTTTTAAATAATTTATAGTTACAAGATGGTAATACTAGGGATATTAATCTATTTATACTTATTTCCACATTATACAACTGCTTTACTAAAGTTTTTTTCAAAAATTTGTAACCAAAAGTCATCATTAAAAATACGAACAAAATACCATATTCTAGAACAGATTTACTATTGGTTTAGAGAATCTTACTCTGATGTCTCTGTGGTTTTTTTGTTCTAACTTTCTGTTTTAAAGATAAATCGTTCTAGCCTCTAATCCTTATAAAGCAAGGGCCCTGTTCTCCTACTTGGCTGTAGGGGATTGTAGAACCCGACAGGTTTCTCTGGGCACAAATGAAATATAAACAAAACAAAACAGTGACAAACACTGAACCTTTGTCTCTGTGACACGTCAGACTTAGATCACACCAGTGGCAGAACAACCTCTGTACTACAACTCTGCAGTTTTATGGAAGCGGTGTAAAAGCAGCTAATTAACTGAGAGTTTAGATAAACTAAGCAAACAGAAAGGAAAAAGAGTGTTTGTTGTTTGAGTGCTGTCATTCCGGAGCAACACAACACTTCACGGAATTCCGAAACCTCTGAATAATAAGCGTAAAACAGGTTCACATTTGCTATTAGAGCCTGGGACTATATTTGTGTGTTCAGATCCCGAAATCACAAGAGCGGAATAAAAACAAAGGCAGCAAAGCCGGCAGCATTCGCGAAAGGCAGGCAGGCCCCGCCGCGGCGGGTCCGGAGGGACCGGCGGCCGCAGGGAGAGCAGGGAGAGGAGGGAGAGCCCAGCGGGCCCATCCCGAGCCCCCTTACCGCCCACTTCCTCCGCGCCTTCCAGCAGGATGTCCTTGGTGAAGCTGGAGATCTGCCCGGTGAGCGAGGACAGGCTGTCGCCCACCTGCCCCAGGGACTGGCCCAGCCCCGAGCCCAGCCCGCCCAGCCAGGAGGCCATCGCGGCTCGGAGGGCTCCGGGCCTCGCTCGGCGCTGCCGGGCAGCTCCCGCAGCCGGGTCCCGCGGGGCCGCCTCCGCCTCCCTTCTCCTCGCTACGGCGGGTCGCGGCTCCTGCCCCGAGCTCAGCACACCGGGCTCGGCAACTCGTCCGTCAAAGCCGCGCGCATCCTCCCGGCTCAGCTGCTCCTCCCGGCTTGTCTCGTCCCGTCCCGGCTCAGCGACTCCTCCCGGCGGCTGCGGCCGCTGCCACCTCAACGGCCGCCATGACACCCCTGCCAAGCACCATCGAGAGCGGCGGCGCGGGCCAGAGCGCCGCCTCGCAGGCGGATATGGCGTGTGGGCGGAGCAGGGGATGCCGGGATGGCGGCGTGGCTCCGGGCCATTAGCAACAGTGTGCCGTGTACGAGATGAGGCAGCATTCGTGCTTGAATATGTGTTCTCACACACACGGTCCTGAAGCCCCGCTGCTTCGGATGCACATGGAGTGGCGTGGGAAGACTGAGGGCACCCGATCGATGTGTCAGAATCTCAGGGAGAGGGGCCAAGAGGCCGCGCCGGGCTCTTCCCGCTGGAGCCCAGCTACGGGACAAGGGCTGGGCTCCCCCTGTGCATCTCCGGATGCACAGGAAGATCCGCCTGAACAGCAGGAAAAGCTTGTTTGCTGTGCAGTGACTGCTCACGGAACAGGTTGCCCAGAGAGGCTGTGGAGCCTCCCTCACCGGAGATACTCGGGAATCATTTGAATGCGGAGCCGTGTGCTCTAGGATGAGCACTACGGTCCCCTCTAACCTGACCCAGTCTGTGATTCCTGGTTGTATTTCCAGCCAGAACCCCAAAACTGCTCCAATTCGAATTTCTTTTTGTTTTTTGATCAAGTGAGGTATTTAAACTTGGGACTACAAGGAGTACTGCACTGTTACAGAAAAAGCAGTTTTGTATCAGTCAGAATGATGGTTATAAAAAATGCTGATATAAATACAGGGAAATGTATTTATGCATTTACATATGAATTTATACATACACATAATGCTGGAAATACAGGGCAGCTGGATCATTGCCTGTTTCAAATTGATAACTACATAAAAATATGTGTAATTAAAGCACCACATCAACAGCAAAATGAAGCTGAGAAGAGCATTTCACAGGTGAAATCTTTTTTAGAATTTTTGTGCCTGCTGAGAATGCAGCAGGCACAAAACACAGGCTCTAGAGTTACAAGCTGGCAAACATCAGCAGACAGAGGTGGAAGAACCTGCTTGTTGCTTCCCAAACGGATCTTGCAGAGCAGGTGAAGGGTTCACGGCTGGCCTGCAATACTCTCTTACCTTTTACTGGCCTCTGGCACTCACAGGCAATGCTAAGGCTGGGCATGGTGTGTTGTCCAGGAGTTTAGAGGTTAAAAGTTCTCTAATAAAGATTGTTTTCCCTCTTCTTCATGGAACAATTTTTCTATCAGGTTTATAACTGATTTCAGCAGTATATTAATTTAATGGTGTACTTGTCACCCTTATGGTTACCCACAATAAAACCAGTCGTACACCACTTCAAATCAGTTTCTGGCTTCGAAAAAAAGGCATCAGAATTGTAGGAAGTACTAGTGCTGTGATGTAGCATGGAATGTAGACATATGTCTTTATCAGTTTTATTAATTTGCACTTTTGGGTTTAATGCCAATGAAACATTTCCAATACTCAAAAGACCCCTGTCATTGGTTTAACAAAACCCATATGGGTCCTCATGACAGTAAAGAAGTGCCATTTAGTATCTGGCTACATAGTTTTTATGGGAAATTGTCTTAGCATTTTTTAAACTAAGATCATGGATTTCCTGCAGACATTTAAAATATTTAGGGATGATAAAAAATGTCTTCTATGGTGGTAAATATTATAATGCCAAGTAAGGCATGTAGTCAATAAAGTAGCACAGAAGACTTGTTGTAACACTGTTTTTAGTTACTACCCTTGCAAAATTAGAAACTATTTAGCATTTTAAGTATTTTTTTAGCTGACTGACTTCATCCAGTGTTAATAAGGGCACAGAGAAATCATCTAATATACTCTGTTTTGACTAAGTTACAAGAGCAATACATTGTGTCACAAAAAGAATGAGAATTCTGGCAACAAAGCAGGAAACTGTAGCTTTAAAAATTAAAAAGCATACAATTTTTAAAGATGTAACATAACTATAATTGGCACCAACTTCCTTCCTTAACAGGAGTGTCTTTACACAACTTTTGGAGTATCAACAGAGGCAAAGACTCCGAGATGATGAAATGTCAGCAACAGAAAACTATCCCACTGCTCTGTCCCAACACCTCTGGTGCAAAGCCCACTGATACCAGGGATGAGATTTCAATGTTTGATGATTCTGTGCCCAATCCACACGTAAGGGAAAGCACATATGCAAATACTTAAGAGAGAAACATTAGAAGCTATAATCATATTTATTTAAAAAAGTGATATCAAATACAACCATATATATTCATGCCTATTTGGAGAGCATTTTCAAAATATCCAACAGTGCTGCCATTTTCCAGTCAAAACAATGACAAAGCATTTCAGCTTTCCCTTTTTAAATCTTTTCAGTATTCTATCCTTTATATACACAAAATAGGCAAAAATTATACAGGAATCCAGAGCCAAAGATGTGATATGAAAACAGTCTTGACAAAAAAATCTTACTGAAAATGATTTCTAAAATACACAACTATTAGGTGAGAGATGAAAAATTATTCCCTTAAAAAATCCTAACTCTACAGTGATTTGTACACAGGGGGTTTCATGTAGCAAAAAAAAAAAAAAAGACAGGATCAAGGTTTTTATCTTTTTTTTTCCATTTTGATTTTGCACAGTGGCATTTAAGTATTACATCCCTTTTTTCCCTCCTGAAGTTCCTTCCTGAATTCACACAGTGCCTGTACTGAGGATGGAGGGAGATTAAAAGAAAAGTGTAGTTATAATTATTTTTCTTAACACAGAAAATAATATATAAGTATTGTGATTTGATGACAGCAGTTGAAAAATCACATGCACTAACTGTCTGAAGAACTGTAACTGGGGAAAAAGGTGACTATGGCAGGTTAAATACTCCAGCATTCCCTCTGCCTCTGCAATGCAAATAAGGCAAAATGTGTGTATGAGGATTAAAAAAATTTATTGCAGAAGAGCTCATGCTTTTAAGATGAAAACCTGGATACAAGACAAAGCTACCAATTCAAAACTGAAGAAGTAAGCATTTGGACCCAGCCAGTTTGAATGTACTAAGTATTGTTCTCACTTGAACAAGTGACTGTGTATATGGAATAGGTATCTATTTATTACATGTTGGACATATTTTCCTTTTTTTCTGTAATGATTTGTGAATAATTATCAAGATATTCCAGGACTTAAGTTTGTTCTATGCAAGACAGTAATGGCTTACCAAGCAAACAACATAATTTTCTATTTAAGCCCTTAAAAAAAAGTTTCCACATCAGTTATTCTCTTCCTTGGATTCTTATTTCAATTCCTTTAAAAGTGAAGTGCTGGTAATGTGAACTGCAAAATAATACTTCTTTGTAAGTCTGAGTTCTAATTCTCTGATCCTATTCCCCTATACTGTATTTTTCTGTACAAAGGCCACCATTTTTATGTTTTCATTATTATTTGAATCAATAATTAATACTAGAAAATTTCACATTTTAGAACTGTAACATGTTAATTTTTAAGCCAGTCAGTTTTGTAATAAGACAAAACACTTGCAAATGATAATATTTGTCTACTAGACACCTGCAGAAGCCCCCCCACCATTCTGTAAGTTTGTAATAGAGGCAATAGTCCAACATTAAAACACATGATAGATTTAGATTTGTACTGGTTATTTTCAAGTAGTCTGCAAAGTAATAAAAGTATGACAAGAAGAGTACCCTAACTGAAAACTACACTTAAATTTGCTACAGTTCTTTGAAAGGCACAGGAAGCCCAAATCTTAAAGTAAGCCAGTATGGTATCATATTCATTTCAGGTCTAGAGAGATGTAAGCATTTGAACAGCTCATATTTGTACTTGCTGTGCCTAACAAGAATTGCGTGCAAGCATGACTGCATTACAACTCTTGTTCCTCCTGCCTTCACTGTAAGACCATGAAAGCAGTTTGCAGAATTATACTTAGAGAAGTAATTATGGAAGATATTTATTGTATCACTCACTCCCCCTGCCCCTTTTATTTCTACTGGCACAAAACCATAATTTATGTCACATGGACCATTCACTGGGAAACAGTAAAAGCTGCTGAATGAATGAAGCCTGAAATTCCATCAAATATAATTCTATAATTAAAAAAAAAAACAATAAAAAACAATGTCTGCTCCCTCACAATAGACTATGGCCTAAAGCTGTTACATGGGAAAAAAAACCCAACCCTTCAGCTTGACAGGGCAGGTAACACCGGAAGTACACTCTAAATTAGTAAATTAGAAGCATAGTTAAGTCACACTGATAACTGTTTATCATTGAAAGAATGAACACCAAAAAATGACAGCAGTGTTTTATTAACAGCCTCTTGCCAGGTCCAGACATTTTGAACTTGAGACCTGGGTTATAGAATATGCACTGTCAGCAATTAGTATGAGGTTTTTCCTTGGGTACAGTTCAAATAGAGACCCTGTCACTCCCTGCAAGTCCTGAAAGGAGGTTGTAGCATGGTGGGTGTCAGCCTCATCTCCCAGATAACAAGTGAGAAGATGAGAGGAAATGGCCTCAATTTGTACCAGGGGAGGTTCAGTTTGGGTATCAGGAAGTATTTATTCCCTGAAAAAGTTGTTCACCATTGGAACAGGCTGCCCAGGCAAGTGGTTGAGCCCCCTCCCTGAAGCTATTTAAAAGAGGTGTAGCTGTGGTGCTTAGGAACATTACAATTAGTGGTGGACTGGGCTGGATTAATGGATGGTTTCTAGCAGGTCTTTTTCAGCAACAGAATTACGTGAATTAACAGATGTAGCTTAAATTGCCCTCTCGTAACTGCTTGTCTAGATAGACATGCCTACATCATTCAACTTGACATTTCTCTAAAAATCAAGCTGGTATTTGTTGAGTGACAACATTTCTCCATAGAAAGGGAAATAGTTGGCCCTGTGATCATGACTCAGCTGTGCCTTTCAGGCACTGACATTTTGTATTTCTTCCATATTAAAATACTGGGGTGATGAAGTGACTTATGATGTGACATGAAAGTTCAAAGGAAAACCTCCATGTTTTAGTGATTATAAAACCAGATAGTTGGCCTGGGTTACAGTCAGTGAGATTTAAGGGGCAGATTTTTTTTTTTTTAATATAGGGCTGCTAGAGCTAAAAATAATATTTTTATTATGTTCTTATAAGAGAGGATAAAAGGTCTGAGTTGCAGGTACTGGCGTCAGCCTGCCAGTCTACACCTATCGATAAAAATGAGTCTTATTTCAGAATTAGTTTATGGCACAACCAAGAAAGGAAAACTAAGCTGTGGTTAATTGACAGATGAGGAAAAAAATATCAGTGCTTTAGACACCTTTCTTGCTTTCAGTTGCATAGAAATTTCAAACTGAAAGCAGAAAATCACACCCTGAAAAATACAGCATTTCAAAATGGCATACGCATACATGGACTTTTAAAGTAATTGTTTAGCTATATTAATTTGAGACATTGCAAATAATTAAAACACGGATGACAGGATTATTTTAAAAACACAAAAATCAGTTTTTAAAAAGTAGTGCTATCTCATGTCAAAATCCATATTGTGTAACACATACTAGTGGTTCTGGTGACATTGGTGAAAATGCAGCACACAGATAAGAAAAACAGAATTTAGCCCGATTATGTATACCATAACAATATCCCAAGCTATCAGGAAACCATTGCTGTAAACAAATCTTTACTGAGAGGTAAGAGCCCTTTCATGTACAGTACTACTTGATGCTGAATGTGTATTTCCATCTAGCTACCATTCATTTCTTACTACTTTTAATTAAATGTTACTATTGCGCAAAGATGTAACTTTAGAATATTTTGATAAAGAAATTTGGGGTTATCTTTGAAAGATTCTTAGAATGCCTGTGCTAACTGTTAATGCTTTAACTGGACTACAGCTTATATACTCTATCTACAAGATATTTCCATATAATTTATATGTAAACAGAATTTGTATTTCAAGCACCATTTAAGAAAATGAAACATCTCTCTTTTGTTGCACTGAAGTTCAAGGTCAGGTTTGGTCACCCTGTTACACATTCATCCTGGATCTCAAAGCAAATGTCTTACAACCAATAGCATAAGCTATCTCACATACTTTGCTTCCCAATTTTTCTCAGGATCAGAAACAACGTAATAAAAAATTGTAAGGTGCGTGAATAAAGGCCATTCCTGAAGAAACTGCAACATTCTGACAGACACTCATAGAAAGCATTTCAGAAAGAACATCCACACAGGCATAAATATTCATTCTTAAAAGAGCTACTTGCACAGGGGTCACTTCAGATTGCAGGAGTGCATCTTATGTGTGTGGCACTGACTTTATGGCACCTAAATCCCCTCCTACTTTCTCCTAGACTCAGTTACAGCTCACTCATACTGAAAGGCCAGAATAAAAGGGTCGAGCTTGAAGAGAAAAATTCTCTGGAAGAGGTAGAAAAGAAAACCTGTTCAACCCAATTGAGTATATGCTGCTTTTGTAGTAAAAAGAAAATTGCTATAACAAGAAAGAAAATAAGAAAACAATAATTAAAACCAAACAAGAACAACAAAACCCGAAGCCAAATAAGGCAAGTTATCTGCTAAAAGACAATATGTTAAACACGGATCTAAAATTTTACAATTGGAATTGAAAGTAAAACCAAAAATTGTTACAAAGTCAGAAATCACTGAAAGACTCAGGAGTAACATTATAGTCAACAATAAAATTTTGTCTTGAATTGAAAAGTATGAAATTTATGGGTTAGTTTCTCCTGCAGAATGGATCATTTCAAAAGTGGACAGCAGGATCAAAAAGTTGACATTAAATCATTCATAATAAACAATCAAAAATAAATTATTTAAGATTAATGTAATTTAATTACTCTCCCCACTTTAGAGTGATCTATTAAAAATAATTTATGAGCATAACTTATTACTTGTATCTGTTTTTCCACCAGTACTGAAGAAAATAATTTGATGCTGTTTTCAGCACTATTTGTATCTTCTATAGAATTCTTCAGAACAGTTGAAACTTGCTTTTTTAATGCAAGCTTTAAAAGCTTTAGTTTTTAAAGTTACAGCTGCTACCCTTGTCTAACTTTGTGTGAATGGTTCCAGTAATTTTAACACCACTACTCTCGTGAGCAGATGTTTTGTAGGAGTGCTACAGTTCTCTAAATTAGTGCAATCTTTTTTGTATTTGCAGATCCTCTCTAAACTGACCTCCAGCAGCCCCCTTCCATTCCTGCTTCCACGACTCTGAAATGAACCCTGCTTGTGCAACATCCACACAGTAGAATTTTAATTGAGACTTAGCGTTTTGACAATAAGATGGAAAAAAATGATGTTATTTCTCCTCTTCTGAATTCAATTGGTTTCTGACAGACTCCAGAGACATATTCATGGCTGCTTGAAGCATGTCTTCTTCACTCATATCACCTCCTAAAGACAATACATGCATACATGCTGTAATAAATTCACAGTTCTTAACTATAGTTAAATGCATTTGTTGTTCATTTCATCCACGGCCACCTTTTCCTACCCCACTGACAAAACTGGTTTTGTTTTTAAAATCACTAAACATTTTGCAAATAGTTTTTTACCAACAACAGTCAGTTTGCAACAATATACACCAGTTTTGGATCACCAATACCTGACACTGGTAAGATCTACACATGGTCTTCTAAAAACTGGTTCCAGTAACTTTGTCAGATACTATTCCAAGTTGTCAATCAACTTTAAAAGTAATTTAGAAAACAAACAGCTGGGGTAATAGCAATGCTCTTCACTTTGAAATAGGATATTGACATTCAAAGGGAAACAGGCTTTTCAGGAAAGTGATAATTTTCTTCACTGCCAATACAGTAATGGCTGTAATACACCATTGGAATGGCTGCTGAAGTGACAAAGTAGGCAGACAAGGAAAATTAATAAACAACAATAAAAGATGAAAAAGCCACATTGCAGTGCTGAATGTAAGGTTAAAAAACAATACCTGCGCCAGGTTCTGCAGTGCTTGAACTAAGAGGTGCTTTGTCCTTTAGGTTTGGAGTCTGATCTTGCTGCTGTAGCTGTTGTTGCTGTCTGAAAGCGTCATAAATTTGTAAGAGAATATTAGTATTAGAATTAGAATCAGTATGAGATGTGAATCAAGTTCATTTCATTGTAAGGAAGGCCAGGAGACAGAAGTAGAAGCTATTTGGTACAATAACAGCCCTGTGCCCAAAATCTTTCATCATTTCACCCTGCTAAGCTTCAGACAGGTATCTTCCCAGTATTATATTCCAAGCCACAAGACTATTTTCCCAGGATTTGGAAGCTCTGCATTCTTATCCTACCATGTGAAGCCTAACTCCTCCCATCCATAGCATTTCTCCCTGGTCTTTATTTCCTTTATTACTGTAAGACACAGATAAGGAAAAGCTACAATAGCTCATCTATTAAGAAGGTACACCAGAACAGTAACATAAAATGTGTACAATGCTTTTATGTGATGCACATGAGAAACATGTACTTACCCAAAAGCAAAGTCTTAGAGAGATAATTTTTGTTAGGAAGGTAGTTGCAGAATTTTACAGAATTTCATTTAAAAGTACTTTTATAATACATGTTTTCTTTTCTTTCTTTGCAAGACTTGCAGTAGTAGCAAGAATACTGCATTATTAACAAACACCCTCTTACTAGAGGTTTCTCTGTAGGAACCACCAGAGAATAGTAAAATTCAGGTACTGTTAGGAAATCATATTAAGACAGAAAAGTTGAGCTGGACCTCAAGTAAGAAACCCATCCATACCCCAAAAGCACTGAAAAATATATGTACTTCCCCATGCAGTTTTCTATCAACTACTTTACTTTTCAAAATATGCTTGTCTTCTCCTTCGCAGTTCTTCTGAAGAAAGGGAGTCTGTCTGACTGCTGTGAGATGACTGAGGCACATTCTGTGGTAATGAGCCTGAGAGCTCACTTCGACGGCTACCTAAAAGCAGAACATGCCATATCCTACTAATTATAGTAAAATGAAGTTAGCAAATAAAATACAGCTTAAAAAACATCCTCAAACTTGAGAAGAAAGACTTTTTGGCAATCTAAGCTCCTAGAAGAACTACGTTTGATAATTTCTCTTCTCCTCACCTTAGGACCCCTTTCCTCCTGCTACCCTTTGCCAATTTGTTCTTCTTTTTTTAATAATCAATAACAACATGCAAGTTACAACTTTTCAAAAAGCAGGAGGGAGATAGTTACGTGCAATCCTGGATTGTCCTTCCATGCCTCAAACCAGTCTTTCCAGAGATATTGACACATGCTGGAAAAATTGCCTGACAAAGTGATTCCAGGAGCTGCTTAAAACACTGTAAGAAATTTAGATAAGCACTGCACCTTGCATGCTGAGCTGAATGGCTCTGCGAAGATCAGCTTCTTCATCCTCCATATCAATTTCCTGCCTACTTAGAGCCAGGGCTCTCTGAAAATTCTCTTCATCTTCATCTAACATGCCTGTTCCGTCAAAAGGATGGTTAACTTCTATTGCTTGGTCCACGTCACTTCTGGGTAGCCTGTGAAATTCATACATTCGTAACAAAATCCAGACAGAAATTATATTAGATTTTATTATGAGGTTCAAATTAGTATGTTCTGCCAGGTTTAACATTGAGAGAAACATTTTTCTTGTGAAAACCTGTTACATACAAAACTATTTTCCTGAAAAATGAAAAAGCACAAAAGGGCTGCAAGCAACTGCAGAGCAACCTTAACACATGTTTGCCACACGGTGACCTCTAAACCAAGGCACATGTTGCAAGCTATTAGATAGTAAATCATCAAAAATTATAAGCCCACAAAAAGCCGTGATACACATTATTCAAGCCTACTGCTATTTAAACACTTACACCAACAGAAAAAAGTGCAGTCTCCTTCTCAAGGAGGATTTGAAGGCCACACTAAAGCAACAGAACCCATGCAAACTGTACACACTTTCCATGTTACTGCTAATTCCATCAATTTACAACATCAGTTTAACTTTACCAAGCAGAAAAAAGTAATGAATTCCTCTGAGAAGCCTTTTTATCAGTATGCAATTTATTCACTATGAAAATTCAGTGAAATCATTGCAGAAGTGCATAAAGTACTAACTTTATATGTTTTCAAGGATGTTTTATATTAGCAGAATCTATCAAAAACGAGCAGCATCACAATGTTACAGTAAAATTATTCCAAAAGGGAATGCTGTATGATTTATATGACATGGAATTCAAAGATCAGTTTCTCATTTTTTTCTACTTATGACATAACGCACAAACCAGTCTTAATTATAAAATAATTACTATTAACCATAGTTTATAGGATTTTCTAAACTATTTTCCACCCTAAGTCAAAAGTCTGCACTATAATATGCTTATGCACATGGAAAGACTCAACCCTTCTCAAGCCAGCTTTTGCCCACTTAAAAATACACCATTTGTTGTCCATCAACTTGCTTTTACTGTGTGCAACAGCCATAAACATTGAACTAAAGGTACTTCTTATGACTTCCAAATTACAAACCAATCATACTGAACATTATCAAAATAAAATCTTCATTTACCTTACCTCTGATCTCTTGACTGTGCTGCTTCTTCTCCAATCAATTTTGGTCGCTGCATTTGCTGTACCCGAATCATCTGCAGCAGCTGATCAGCCTCACAGTCTGGCAGGTCACCTTTTACTACAAATATGGAATAACCTGAGAAAAAGAAATTGTAAGTCTACAACACTGAAGTGCACTATATTCCATATAGTATGCACTCTAAAATGCACACTATATGGAATACAATAATGTGCAATTTAAGATGTAAGACTCTACCTTTTATAATAAGAACTTGGATTATTTCAATCATAAAACTAAGGGTAGTTAACTGAATATATAAGTTCTACGAAATAATGATTATTACCTACTTTTAATTAATGAGATTTAACATCTGCAAGTTACTATTACCTTCCTGTTGTAATTGAGCCAAGAAAAGTGCAAGATATGTATCTGATATTAGTTCTGGACCCATCAAGAGAGAGTTCAAGTTAAACCACTGTAATTAAGAAAAAAAAAAGGTTGAGAGAACAACTTAGCATGAAGATTACTCGGTAATCCATTCCTGTACATTGTGGTAATTTTTTATTATTGAATATCCAAATAAATCCAGTAAAATAAATTATCAAATAAAAGTTTTTTTTAAGTATAATACCTATACTGCTAAACATTATTCTTCAAATACTCTAACAGGACGTCTGAAGTGCGGAAATTACTGCATGCTCTCTCCCATTACTGAATACTGGTACTAGGGAAACACATTCAAACAGCCATTGTATTTTGATTTATTTCAGACATCATTCTAAAACTCTGCTTAATCCTAGTTTTAAACCTGAGACTAATGCAGTAACAAACCCTTCATCAGTTCATGCTATGTGTTAAGAAATTAAAAGACACAGAAAACAGACATTCAATTATTTCCATTAAATACTTTCATGGAACATTCCATCTTTAATAACTGGTGATGCTGAAAACTAGTATTCACCCTTCTCTCAAGTAATTTTTAAACTTAAAAATTAAAAAAAAAATTACTCAAATTTAGTATGCTGAGAGTACAGCACTATATTATAACAGGGGATGCTTCATACACAACTCATTTCTAGTTACCCAAAGACCATAACCAGTAATTTATAATACTTCTGAACAGAAACAGTATTATACTTACATAAAACTTCTAGAGAGAAAATATACTCAAAGTGAAACAAAATAAGCCTACCTTTAAACTCCCATATATATTCCAATGAAGCTAAAGAACTTTTTTTCAGACCTCCTAATTCAAGATGATACAGTTTTAACCAAAAAGCACCATTTGACTGAGTGGAAGGAGAATTTTATCTCCATTCTCACAGAAGTGCACTGATCTACCCAAACTTCCATATATGCACCCACAGACTTGCAGCCAGGCCCATACAACAATGTAAGTGACTATCTACCACCCTGTCAGGCAATCACTTCATCTGCCAAAAACACTCCTTGCCACTAGGAAAAGGTAAAAAGACCAACAGTGTAGGGGAATAAAAAGTTCTGTAAAAAATCTGATGGACAGACTACAGCAAATTTCAAAAGAGACTACAGAGGAGAAAATCTTGTTAAACTAATTTTGCTTTAACTGTAACAGAGGAGAAGCAACCTATTTTGTCAAATCTTCTCATTACCCTCTAGATAATAGACACCTAGGACTGTCTTCATGAGGTTACAAGCCACAGGTAAAAGCAGAAAAAGGCATCCCCCCTCCAGCTTAGGATGTCTTGGGTTAGAATGCCCTCTCATAAAATTCCACCCAACATGGTTGCATTGTATAATAAGCATAATTTTAAGACAACATCCAGCCTGTTTGATATCAAATAAAAAATGCCTGTAAACATCAGCCATACTTTTAAACTAAAGCAGAACAGTAGAATTTAGTTTTCTCACTCACAAGTGATTTTTATTTTTTAAAATCTGGATAAAAATGTAAGTAGCCAGAACTTGCAAAAAGGAACCAAATGGGCAAACAGACTCCTGTCCCCATATTACAGACTCTAAAAGCTGTTTTCCATTAATTTTTTCTATGAAAAAAGCCCTGGAAAAACCAAACACTAAATCAGCTCGTGTTGCATGAAAGCTCATAAGCTTTTATACAACATGAGCTGCAAGTACACAAGCATGATCCAGAAAAATGATTGGCTGCTTAAATAAAACATTGAATTGGTGTTGTAAGGGACACGGATATGAACTGGGCTGGTACATATGTACCATATACTAATATAACCATCCCTTACCTTTAATATCTATTTCCTGCTTAGAATACAATTCTTTCAAAGTTTTCTATAATAGCATAAAGTTGAGATTCTACTTCCCCAAACCTCATTCTAATTGATACTCTTGAGTATCCATTATTATCCATCCAAAACTTGAACTTCTCCTTATATCTACTACCCATTTAAATAAACAAAATTATTTTACAATGCCAGTATCTTACTGTATTAAAATAAGCTTGAATTCTGTAGGGATCCTAATCTTTGATCAGGATTCCCTACTCCCCCTGACCCCCCAGCACAACTTTTCTTCAGTATTTCATGCAGACAAAGAAAAGAAAATAGCTTAAGAAGTCACATAAGACCCCATCAGAGGTGTAGCTCCCTAAAGGACAGATTCACTAGGGAATTGATCCTACAGTCTTTTCCCAGGCTAACATTTACAATGACCTGCCTGGCATTTTTGTGATAAAACAAACATTTACCTGTTTTTAATATGAGATACTATTAAACCAAACTGCTCCAAAAGCTTGCAAAAGGGAAGCACAATCTACTTGCAATCACTTTTCCACACCCATTTCTGAAGTGAATTTTAAAATAAAAAAGACAGTGTCACCTGTTTTCCTAACTTTCGAACTGTAAACCAGTGTTCCTTATAATTACAAATAAATGATTTTTCATTTCTGTAAAAAGAAAAACAAAAGACATAAATAAAATTAAATACTCTAAAATCAGAGCACATAAAAATGTTTAAGATTTTTGCTATCACTAATTCCAACTTAAGTATAATAAAGTTGCAGTAATACAACCATTGATGTTACATTACAGAATACTCATACTGCTTTTATAACATTCAGGAAGTTGGCAATATCACTGAAATCTCCATAGATCTGTGATGCCACAGATACCGAAATTCATGAAGGCACAGAGGACAGATGCATGCACCCCCAAAAAGAAAAAAAAAAAATCAAAGCCGGGGGCAATACAAACATCAAAACACATAAAACAGAGCATAAAACACCAATTTAAAAGAAATATCTAAAACACAGATTAAGTGTATTTTTACAGTAAAATAAAAGCAAGGTGATAAAAGAATCTCACATAGGATCGATCCCAAGTCTCTGGTACTCTGGGCTGTTGAAGAGGATTAGTTCTAAACCCCACACTTTCAAGGCATTGCTTATAACCTGTCAAAAAAGAACACTTTTCATGAGTCAGACTAGTTCAAATCTAAATTCAAGCAATGCAACCATCTTAGCTATGCTAAACAATTATATTGTTTTTATAAAACTTAATTTCAAAATATTGCCCGCAAACCTAGGAATCACATTACTCAAAATGCAGCTGTCATGAATCCACATACAAGCATAACACTCATATCTTATCTAAGGAAAAGTAACAAAACTAGGATTTAACTTTGTTAATGAGCATACTCCTCCAAGCAAAGCTGTCATTTCACCTTCCACAAACACTTTGCAAGCTGCCATCTCTCCAGATGCAATGCACTGCTCTGCCCTTACTTCCCCCCCATACAATCCCAACCTTTCTTCACAGTAACTGTTGGAAATTTTGTACCACTGGATTATCACAGGATCAGTCAGTTTGTGATCTGAGCACCAACTCTTTTACAATACCTCTTTAAAGCTACATGAAATAAGGCTGTAAGAACTTTTAAGTTAACAAATCAAATTCCTTTCAGCAAGCCAACTGTGCCTCAAATGACAAAGCAATGACAGGACAAAAAGGTAGAACAAGGAAGCATTTTTTTCAGCTACTGAAGCAGCTCAAAGACAGCAGGAAAGCCAAACTGTTAATGGTTTCTTGCTAAAAAAAAACCAAACAACCAAAACCAGCCCATTTGGCCATAAGGAAGCGAGGCTCTTGAGCATTGACAAGTACCACTGAAAAGCTTGAGAGACAGCCAAAGATGCCTGGAGTTCTAATCTAGACAAAAGCCCCAATCTGGGGCAAAAAAAAATAAATTTGCTGTTGGTCTGGTTTAAGTATTCATTATTAATTACTTTTCCTCTATGGCCTTAAAATAATCAAAAACACCCAAGAAAAATCTGCAGATGACTGTGATAACCCTTGTGATTGCCAAGGGCTTTCCAATCTATAATTTGAGAAAGCAATCTGAATTCTGCTTTTTCACCTGGGAGCCAAGGTCTACACCTGAAGTGTCCACAAGAAACAGCTTAGAACTCAAGCTTACTGCCAGCAGGTGTCATTTCACAGTTCCTGAATCCATGTTTCTCCTATGTATTTGAGGGCCCATGAACTGAAGAACTGCAAGTCATTGTTATTAAAGGAAAACACTCTGAACATCTGCAAGTCCAGCACTTAATCCCATTAAGCCCATAAATTGGTAACTAGATGGAAATGCTCAGTGCCATTTAAATTACATAAAAGAACATATACTGCATAAACAGAAAATGGTCAGAAGAGAGCTGTGCTTACTTGAATTGAGAAGAATCCACTATCATCCATATTTACAGAAGGCTGCTGCTCAATGTGAAGTTGGAAGAGAGAAAAGGGAAAAATGGTGTAAGCATAAAAGGTCAAAAATAATTGAGTTGTGAAAATAAATGTAACTGCAGATTCTTAAAGCAATGACTTATGTCCTTGTCTGTAAGTCTGATTACAATGCCCCAAACAGGCATTTTAACTTAAAACTCAAACCTTTAGAGATGTTCAGTGCTTAAAGGGCAGACAGACATGGGAATTTCTGTTCCTATCTGACACCAGCTTACAAAAACAAAAGGCAAATTACTGATCCTTCTCATCATCTTCCTACTTGTAAGATTAAGGCAATGTAGCTTTTGGTAGAATTATTGTAAAGCTGTACTAGTGACATTTGAAAATGGCACATCTAAGATGCATGAATGAAAATGCCTATATATTAAAAAAGCTTCAGCTTAACTAGAAAATTAACCTTGTCTAGCTATGCAAGAATAGCAGGTCTGTGCCAGACAATATTGCATTTCAGGCAATATCAAGCAATCTCAAATGAACATAATTTTACCTGTAGAAATGTTCTGTATTCTTCACTAGATACTCCTCCCTCTGCCATTCTCATCCTTTCTTCCTCATCCAATTGCTGTGCAATAGAGGATAACTCAACAGGACTGAAGTATTCACCTTGCAGCAAATTATTCAGACAATGTTGAGCACACAATGAGCCTTCTTGCTAATAATGAAAGAGAAAAAAAAATGGAAAAATAAAAAAATCACCCCAGAGTAATGCAAACTATGTAAAATGACTCAACTGCATCATTCTGGCACACTTCAAGGCCTCCCCAGTCATGCAGAAGACCACATGTTCTTTCAATGTATGACACTGCAAGCTATAGAATACAATCCTCCCATCAACTTGATGGGACAAAACCCAACATGCATACTCCCTTATCTCCTTAAGGGAAATAAATGTAATGTAAAAATTGGTTTTGAAAACACCATAACTATTGCTAATGATCCAACAAATCACACAGATACTCTGCAACCATTAGAACAATGCATTCTATCCTCTTCCAAAACATCAATACATAAAAATCAAAGAGTTTAGATCTCTACTTCATTTGTACATTCTACAGATGTTTGTACTCTACAAACATTTTCTATAACAGACACTCTCATTATTTTTTAAATTTTCTTCTTTTCCAGGTGTGACTAATGACAATCTCCTCTCCACATTATTGCTGAGAAAGTGATTAGAAGCTGGAGGAACAATAAAGCTCCTTTTCCACATAAAATTTACATGTGAGAAGTAAATAAAATACAGTCATACCACTAGTTTGAAAATCTTGAAAACAATGATGGGGAAACAAGAAAAAAAAATTAAATTCAGTATATTAAAGAAGGAAAATATTTTTTAATTGATAGATGATTCAAATAAAAAACAGTTCAGATACTTTGTTACATGTCCAGCACACTATAGGCAAAAGAATTATAGTATAAGACTTTTAAAACGTCAGCATAAATTTAAAAACAGCTAATTAACAATTTCAGTCATGATTTTGTAGCACAAACTTACAAATCTCAGATCTGACTGAATGCATGACAGGCTCATTTTCATATATGAGATAAAATACTGCCTCGTTAAAAAAAAACAAAACAAAAAAACAAAAACCAAACAAAACACAATGTAAACCAACCAAAGCAGCTTCCCATGAAAAACAACCTTTTTCTACAAATAACTGTAACTCCATGTGCAAGACAAGTAACATCAGCTGAAAAAACCTGCATTCCTCTTTTGTTTTAATCAGTCTTCATTTTTATTTACACTAAGAACTCTCCTACACATGCTCTTCATTAAAAACAAAACTTCTCAAAACAAAACAGAACACCCCTCCCTCAAGCCAGACCCACAGAAACTAAGAATACAAGAACATTTGTTTGAAGAATACTCTTTAAAATTCCATAAAAGCATCACACAAATCATATGCAGAACTCTCCCATGATCTCCCTTACAGCTGAAACCTTGGAAGTTCCCTTTACTCCAGAATCTTCCTATGGCTTCATCACTCAGTTGAGCAATGAGCTCCTGAAGCTGCGCTGGCTGCACAGCCAGGCTTCAGTGGAATGTGGAAGCCTCCTCCAGCTCATGCCCTTCCTGCAGCAAGGAACTGAAGATAAACACCAGCTTCTCCCTCTGCGAGCACATCCCCACTGCTGGCCGTGTGTCAGAACTGTGACAGAAGAACCTGCTCAACAACCACAGGCTTCCCCACTAGAATAATGTGAACTGATTTAGAAAGAGAGAGACAATAAAACACCGCTGAAAATTAGTTGGGTTACATGCTTACATACTAATTTCACTAAAAGGAAACTTTTTAGTAATAAAAAGTCAATTCATACTGTGATAAGCTAGGCCATGTAAGAAAAGAGTACATTTTGTTAAACTGTTTTCAAAGCCAGACTGAAGGTCGCTGAAGCAGAGGCCATCACGGCCGAAACCCAACACTCACCCTCGAACAGCAGCTACTTAACACCACAACACTTGCCAAATTTTGAAACCCAAAACTACTCCCCAGTTTTTATGGATTTCAGAACAGGAATTTTTTAAAGGCAGGTACACAGCTATTTTACTCGACTTCTTAAGGAAACCAATCCTACATAACAAAACAAAGTAACAGAACCAGCATTAAGATTAACACAATAAAGTGGAAGAGACACTGGCAAAGCACAAGAAAAAACCCAGTTACAATTTGAACAGCATTAAAACAGGAGCAGGTCACATTTGTGAAGCTGGATAAATCACAGCATTTCACAGCAGCATTCGTGCTCCAAAACAGGAAATACTGCTGGCACACAGAAGCACACTACAGGAACTGCGACTTCTCCAGCGGCTGTCCCACTCCGTGCTCATTAACAGCCACAGCCAAGCCAGGCTCGGTGACGAGACGGCTCTGCGAGCCCAGGGACAGCCCTGCCCGCCGCTGCTTCTCCTCGCACTCATTTCTCTGCCACGCGAGCTCGCTCTCAAGGAACACAAGTAGCTGCGTCCTACACAACGCCCCGCACTCTGCAGTCCGTACCTGCAGTCCCCAGAACAGAGTCCCGGTGCTAAAGCGGACGCCGAGGCTCAGCCCCGGCTCTCCTCTCCCTGCAGGGCTGGCAGCGTCCAGCTGGGACGGGCCACAGGCACCATCGCGCGAGGGCCCCGCTCTCCCCCGAGGCAGAGAACGAGCCACTGCCAAGGGCCGGAGAGATGCCAGGGAGGGACAGCGTGGCCAGGCCCACACAGGCCGAGCGCACCCCGGGGGCGCCGGGGGCTGCCCCGCGCTCGGCGCGGCCACGGGAGGCCCGGGCACCGCCCCAGCAGCTCCTCACAGACAGCTCGCGAACCTCCCCCGTCTCGGCGGCCCGGACGGCACAACCGACAGCGGTACAGCGAAGGCAGGCGGGCAGCGAGGCCCGCCCGGCGCTCCCGCGCTCTGCGACTCGCTCCCGCACTCACCCGCTCGTGGAAGATCGACTCCATGTTTACTGTGGCGGCGCAGCCCCCGCCCCACGTGACCCGCCCGGCCAATCGCAGCGCCCGCCGCCGCGGGACCGGCACCGGCACCGCTCCGGTACTGCACCGCCGCTCCGCCGGAGAGCCCGCACCAGGACCGGCACCGCTCCGGCACCGGGACCGCCGCTCCGCCGGAGAGTCCCGCACCGGGACTGCACCGCTGCTCCCCCGGAGAGCCCGCACCGGCACCGGCACCGCTCCGGTACCGGGACCGCTGCTCCGCCGGAGAGCCCGCACCGGCCCCTTACCGCTTGTCCCCCACCGGCCCCGGCCGCTCCTGCCGTGTGCTCAGCAGCCCCTCACACCCTCCCGGCCCGCTCCCAAGCAACAGTCGCTGCTTAACCACCGCTCCAAACAAGCCTACAGAGGAAAGCCAGGAAGAAACGTAAGCAGGGTCAGCAGCTGTCAGCACACTCTGGGTTTGTGGAATGAAATAGCTGTAAACACGTGGACTCCACACCATACACAACAATAACAACATAAATGATTTTTGCATAGTTTATTCTATAGTTCTTCCTCTCCCATCCAGAGTAGGAAAGAAAATTTTCTCAATGCTTATGGACTAATGGAATTCCTGAACACATATTAGTCATGTAATTAAATCAACTTCAAAAAGTAACACCAGAAATTAAACTAGCACTGATGAATTGCAGATGTCCTTTACTGTAGTATCCTCTCAGGGTAAAATCCATATTCCTGTTCTTTCAATATGTAAGGTAAGATGATGAATCAAACAAAAATGTCTTCCTTTTCATCATCAGCTTTTATCTCCATGTTGCTTCTTCACCAGGCTTCAACTCCCTGTACAAAAGAAAACAAAAACCAAGAGGGAAGAGACTGAAATTAGTATCTTTCTTTCTAGAATAATTATTAATAAATGTACTTATTTGTATTAGTTTATATTCAACAATACCTTCATTCTGAGATTTATGTAAAAATTTAACTTTCCTTGCAATTGCAGTCAGTTAAAAATCTTTCCATACTGATAAACTGCCTTGTTTCTTTCAAAAGCTTCAAGGGATTGAGTCCTCTGAATTCCCATTCATTTACATGGAAGCACAGAACAGCTGACTTCTAAGGAGTTAAGACTTTTAATTGGATACAAAATGAAAAATTCTACTTCTTTTAAATATAATAATTCATTGCTTTAGTGGAGAGGTGTGTAAGAAGAAGGGATTTTTACAAGATGCTGACATAGCAGCCCAACTTCACTAACAAATACATTAAGGTAAGTGCTAATGTACCCATGGGGTAGATTATGTCAAAAGCTTTCTTTCTTACTCAAAATTAATTTAGGTGAGGCCAGAGTTGGAAGAAAAATCCACTGGCAAACTGATAGCACTCCTACTATCAGTGTTTATGCAACATGATTTTTTTCCCCTCTTCTTTTGTTAACCTGATGATCTAATACAGAATTAGAAGTGACACAGATGAGTCAATGCCTGAAGTTCTCTGATGCAAATACTCCCTGAGGAGTCAGAGCCAGGAAACCCAAACTGATCAGTGCATATAATCACATCATTCAGTGAAGATATAGCAGCATGTATGTTAATTTTCAAGAACTTGGTAATTATTTTTAAGTACCACGCATTTAAGTAACACGTATTTGGTTAAAAAGCACTGTGATACATTTAAATTTAAGAGGGAAAATTAAAACTCAAGCACCATGTTTCCTGGTGAAGTTATAGTCAAAATAATAGTTTCCGTATTTCATGACCAAGAACTTGACAGTAGCTAATGACCCTTTCTTTCATGAAGATAGCTCCTAAAGATTCCATTTTCAGACGTATTACTGACCTAAAACACTTCATGAATGCTTGATACTTTTAGGCCTTTCTTCCCCTTTTTCCATTACATTCATAACTAAAAAAGAACTGAGAAGCACTTTGAAAAATAACTATATATGTATAGAAGAGGCATCATAAAGCAGACCTTTTATATAATAAGCTCTTGTTTCTGAAGGCAGACAATCTTTCATCATTCCATCTGTCCAAATAGCATCCAATCACAAATCCTAAGGGAACCAGGATGTGAACCCAGTGTTCACGCACAGCTTGGGCGAAATTCACCATGACTGCTGGAAAGAAAAGCATAAAAGGTAAGTGGTACTAATAAATCTGCATTTGGAAACTGTTGCATGCTTGGCACCTTTACTCTCACTTATTAGGATTCTACAATGACATAATACACGTGAGGGCTATCAAACACTTCCTAGGAGACGCATGCTGCTCTCAAACCCATACCTGAGTTTTTTAATAATAATCCTAACTGTTGACCCTGGGAAAAAGGATTTCATCTTAAAACAGGACAGAAATAGAACATCTCTTTAATTTACTCATTAAAGCAACTCTACAGAAGTATGTTGCTCTGTAAAACATTAGGAACACTTTCATAGCCTAAACTCCTGTAGAAGGACACTTTATTATCTGTGTCAAGTCTCAAAGACAAGTTGTATATTTAGTGGGGAGCTGACAGATGAGAAAGGACATTTCTGAAATAAGGAAGAACATTTCTAAAATCACAGAATGACAGAATTATGACAGTTGGGATGGACTTCTTGAGATCATCCAGTCAAACCTCCCTGCCAAGGCAGGATCACCTGCAGCAGATAACACAGGAACACATCCAGGTGGTTTTTGAATGTCCCCAGAGAGGGAGACTCCACGGCAGAGCTGTTGCAGTGCTCTGTCACCCCCAATTTATAGGAGTCTTTCCTCATCTTGAGGCCGAACTTGTGTTTTAGTTTATGGGCATTGCTCCTTGTCCCGTTGGTGGGCACCAATGAAGAGTCTGGCACCCGCCTTTGAGGTATTTACAGGCACTAACGAGACCCCCTCGCATTCTTCTCTTTTCCGCACTAACGAGGCCCTGCAATCCTTTCCAACCCAACCAAAGCCCTCCAGACCAGGGGCTCACACGCGACACAGCGCAGTCTGTCACGCAGCCCCCGCGGGACCCCCGGGCCCGGCCGCTGGCACGGGACACGGCCGCAGCACCCGCGGCCGAGCCGCCCCGGCCTGCCCGGGGCCCGACCGCCCCCCCAGCGGCAACAGCGCCACAAAGCCCCACGGCTGAGGCGCGCTCCCGCCCGCCGCCGTGCCCCGGCCGAAGGGGTAGGGGACAGGGGTAGGGGACAGGGCTGAGGGGCGCTCCCAGGGAGGTCCGACCGGCCCCGCCATTCCATTACCGCCGCTCCGCCAGCACCGGGCCCCGCCGCGGCCGCGCCAAGGGCACCGGGAACGGGCGGGCCGGCCGAAACCACGGGCGGCGCAGCCGCGGGGGAGGAGCGCCCTCCCCCCGGCGGGCTCGCGGTGGTGCCGCCCGCTCCGCTTCCGCCGGCTGCCCCTCCTCCCCGCCTCCCGCAAGATGGCGGCGAGCGCGGCGCGGGCTGGGGGTGGTTGAGGGCGCAGGTATCGGCTCTTTCACATCATCCTCCTCTTCCCCTTGTTCTCCTCGTCTCGGACTGGAGTGGGCGCAGGGTTCGCCCCCGTGACGCCGTCCCCGCCCGGCGAGAGGCCAGGCTGGGGCGTCAGGCCCGGGCCCGGTGGGGCGCTGGAGCCCGGAGCCCCCGGCCCGCCCCGCGCTCTGCCCCTGCTCGGGCAGGCCCTGGGTTTGAGGGGTCGCGGCCCTGGATGTGCCTTCTCTGGGTGCCCCCATCCAGCTCCCTGGAGCTGCTGTTAACTGCGCTGCTCCTAGGGATTCTTAAAAAAAAATATTCTTAATGTATATTGTAGAAAATTAACCGCACTTCTTTCTAATAAGACCTGCAAGAGTAGAATGTTAATATCTGAGACTTAATTGGTATCGAGCAGCTGTATTGAACAGTATTAACACCCTTAGCCTGTGTATTTTTAGGAATATGTGAAGCTAGATCTCAGTAAATGGGATTTTTCTTTGTGTCAGTCAACGAAACATTTTGTCCCCCATTCAGATTAGTTCTTTTGGAGATTAAACACTTGGAGAGGAAAATGACATCGATTATCAAGTTGACTACGCTCTCGGGGGTGCAGGAGGAATCTGCCCTCTGCTATCTTTTGCAAGTAGATGAGTTTCGTTTTCTTTTGGACTGTGGCTGGGATGAAAACTTTTCTATGGATATTATTGATTCTCTGAGGAAGTAAGTAGTTCAGTTCATACACCTAATTTTTAAATAGGGTTTGGTCTGTCTTGAAAGTTTTCAAAATTCCATGCAGTGGTATAATGTATGTTGTTGCTAAATGCAGAATTGTTAATTTGTTTTGTTTTGTGTATATTTCACGTGAAGGGACTCACACTGCTGAAACATTTCCTGCAAAAACTTGGGATTTTTTTTCTTGTCAGTCCAGTGAGTTGTGTCTCTTAACTGTCATTTTCTAACTTCAAAAAATTCAGTTTTTCTTTCGGCTTGGATGATTTGTTTAGTTGTCATAAATGTGACATAGTTTAGGGGAGACTGACCTTGACTCTCAGCTAATTTGGAATAGTTAACTAAGTTTTTAATAGGAAAGGAAGCCTTCCTGCAAGTAGGCTGAAGACAAAGCATTTCAACTCTTGGGTCTTGCTTCAGTTTGAACAGACTGTCAGGAAAACACCTTCTGTCAGGACACCAGCCCTGCAAAGGGAAAAAAACCCTCCAAGCCAAAATCTGTGAACTTCTTCAAAATACTGAACTTCTTCAGGTGTACAGCAAGGAGCTGTGCTGATTGCATTGGGACTGAAACATGGAAATTTGGGAGAGGAACTGCGCTTGTTGTTACAGTTTTGTAGCATTGACACACTTGTAGTGTTTGAAGTCTTTTAAGTGAGGATTGTTAGGTACTGAGGATAATTTATAAAATTTTTCAAGTGTCTTATCTAAGAAGCAATTAGATAAAATTCCCTTTTTCATAACAGCCCTCGAGAAGAATGGCTGTGTGCCCCACTTACTATGCAAGGGAACAAAAAGCTGTCAGTTCAGCTTGCATTTTCATTTGTTACATGTGTTTTATGCCCTCAAGTTTTTTAGTTATGATA